TTGCAGCCGGTGTTGGACCCACATGGAGGGTTGTCTAAAGTCACGCCTATACCCTACGTCCTAAACCCTATGCCTTTGTGGGTACCCTAGAGCCTAGGCCTGGTTTTATATCAGGGACCCAAAAGGGACCATCATGGTTGACAACCTCCTACGCCGAAGCTCATCACCTGGCGTGCGCGTTGAGAAAAGAGCCTGGGAGCAGTTCTTTGACATGTTCTACGGTTTAGGGTTCAGCGCGTCGGGTATTGTTCTTCGTTTTGTCAAAGGGCGTATGTGTTCAGCGAAGAGAACTGGCGGGTACACGATCATCATTTTTGGTGGAATGGTAGCCCTAAGTATCGCGGTCGGGTGCGGTAAAATGAAATCTAGGTTAAGGGTACCAACATTGGGGAGTCTTGTGGAATATGACATGGAAACAAGGTTTCTATGAGGCAAACCCTAAACCCTAAACCCTAAACCCTAAAACCCTAAACCCTAAAACCCTAAACCCTAAACCCTAAACCCTAGGATGAATCCCAACGTCATGGTGGGAGATTTCTTTAATGTTCATAGTCTAGGCTACCTCAAGTAGACCTCGAGTTGATATTGGTAGCTGTTTAGGGTTTAGGGGTTTAGGGTTTAGGGGTTTAGGGTTTAGGGGTTTAGGGTTTTGGGTTTAGGGGTTTAGGGTTTAGGGGTTTAGGGTTTAGGGCCCACACGAACATGGAAGCCCACAATGACCCTGCACACCCCAGCTGAAGAAGTGGCCTTAAACCCTAAACTCTAAATCTTAAGCCGTAAACCCTCAACCCTCAAACCCTAAACCCTGAACCCTAAAACCCTAAACCCTAAACCCTAAACCCTGAACCCTAAAACCTTAAACCCTAAAGCCTGAACCCTAAACCCTTCCCTTTGACAATGGTCTGCATCTGCATCCCTTCCTCAGGCTCATGGGAATGGATCCCTAGAGCAGCCCCTGTGTTTGGGGTTTAGGGTTTAGGGGTTTAGGGGTTTAGGGTTTAGGGGTTTAGGGGTTAGGGTCCAGGGGTTTAGCGGTTTAGGGTTTAGGGTCCAGGGGTTTAGGGTTTAGGGTCCAAGGGTTCAACTGCAGAGGCAGCCGCTGTCCTACGTGTATGGCACTTCACAAAGAGGCTTGGTCCCAGTTTCCCCATTTGGAACAGTTGAAAACAGGATTCCCTCCGTCGCTTTTCATGCCAAATTGTCACATGACATAGAACGCTCTCAACGACCCTGCGTTTCAGAACCCGCTAGACCCTAAACCCTAAACCGTAAACCGCATGGCCTTGGCCATGTTTCTTTTGGACTGTGGCTGAACAGGTTCAACCTTAAGCTCTAAACCCCTACTGTAGGTAGGCCCCTGGGATATTGTTGATGGAGGAAATTTTGCACCACTTAAAGTCCTTCAATTGCTAGGAGTTACAGTAATTTAGGCACCCTAGGTGGTGCAAGATTTTCTCCATCAACAGTATTTACTATTTGCCCTAATGGCTTTAATAAGGGACCCCTAAACCCTGAACCCTAAAATACTTTTCAGAGGGCCTTAGGCGCCAACCCAAGCCCCAAACCTTAAACCCTTAAACCGGGGACGTGGGCTTTCTGGCGATCTGGTAGCAGTGGCTGAGGGTTAAGGTTTACGAGCCAAGGCGTTCTTGAGCTTGATCAGTGTTGTTTGTGCTTGGACGCAACGGAAGCCTAGCATGCTGCTGTAGCATCTAGGCTCGCAGGCAGAGTGCAGCATAAGCATTTTGGATTTTCTTGCGCCTCTGATTCACATGTACATGTACTTATGCAGTCATGTCTTGTTACATTCTGTCCGTTTTTCTGAGTGCTGTGCTGCATCTGCCTGTCCGTGCCATGGATGCGACATCTTCGCCATCGAGGTTCCGCCTGGACTCCGCTGCAGGCTGGCTGGCTCGGGTCCTCCTCCTGAAGGCTGGGCCCGCTGCCTCCTCCTGCTTAGTCTGTCCACTCCTCTGACCAGGTCACGAGGCTGCTGAGACATTGACTCCTTCGCCTTCCAGGCAGGGCTGTCCGTGCTGAGCTTAGTTGTGGTCCGCCCGCTGCCGCCTCAGGTCCAGCTGGGTGCCGACCTTACTTAGCCTATTTCCTGTGCCGCTGACTAGTGGTCCGCCACTCTGTCCGCCAGGTAGAGATTTCTCCTCCGCCCGTCCCGCTTCTGGAGGACGCGGAGGACCGTCTGCATGCTGTGCCCGGTCTTGCACTAGCGGTCCGCATGCTTGCTGCCTGCACCAGCATTGAGCTTTACTTGCAGCCTTTCCAGCGCCCAAGCTTCCAGCCTTTGCATCTGGCTCACTTTGCCATCATGTCCGGAGGCCAGGCTTCGTTTCCTCCGTCCGGCCCAGAGCGCAGACTTCTTTTCCGCCTCTGTCTGGCACTGCCCGTGCAAGCACCACCCGTCCGGGCCCAACAGCAGCCCAAGCCTTGCGGGCTCTGCTAGGCCATTCCGATGAGGCGATCACGCCCGCCCTGGCCGCACTCCGTGCTTCCGAGCTTGCCCGTCTGCACGACCTTGTGGTGAGCCGTGTTCAGCCTGATCGTGAACACCACTCCGTCCGCGCCTGAGGGCCCGGCCCCGTCCAATCGTGACCCTTGGGCGGACATCACGGACCCCATCCGTGTGGAGCCAGCGCCGTCTGACGTGCCGATGACTGTGCAGACCAATTCGCCCGTCCAGCCAAACCCCGTCACGGATGCTCCGCTGCCCGCGAATGAGTACATGTTGCGAGATCCTATTCCGCCTCTGTCCCCGCGGAGAGCCAACCGTGGTCCGTGGACTTCCGATGAAGGATGGCTGATTAACCCGCAGCTCCCGTCTGTACAGTGCACAATGATGCGTCCGGCTTGGTGGCCGTATGCGGACATTTTCTGTCTGAAAGCCTGTGAGATCCCAAACTGGGTGCAGATCCAGGAGTCGGCCGAACCCGTCGCGCACCTGCAAGGGCTACCGCCAGCAGTATCAGCAGTGGACACACGACGAGGATCGACAGGGCGACCGTCGCCAATGGGCGCAAGGACGACCGCCGCTAGGGACAGCACGGGGCCTCGTCGGACGACGGGGCACCCGGCCGCCTGAATGGTCATCTTGACGGTCGTCTCGGCGGTCCTCTCTTCGATCGTCGCGGTCTTCTGCACGGTCGCCACGTCGATCTCGGTTGCCGCCTCCGCCGCGGCGACTGCCTCGAAAGTCATCGTCGTAGGTCCTGCGCCTGTATTGGCGGTTCGCGCCGCGACCCCTGCCGCGGGCACGGCGCGGCGGGGGGCTACTGCTCTCACTCCTGCTCCGCCCGAATCCGTTCCGCCACTTGCTACGGACTCTGTCTCCGTCCAGTGATGGTGGGTGAGCGGGACGGCCACCAGGGGCACAAATGCTTTGAGTGCCTCAAGGCGCACTGTGACTGACCCCTGTCCTATCCCGTCCGCCTGTCTGCAGCCTACTTAACCAGTAAGGTGTTAGGTGCATTCTTTCTGTCCGACAGGTGGGCTGGGCTGGGCTCTCGTCTGCTAGGCATTCTGCGTTAACATTCTGGAGCAGGTACGCTAACACCAAATGTTCTGCAATGCCACGGCTATGGTACCTACAGTCACTTTTGCGTTCCTCCTCCGTCCGCCCTGCCCGGCCGTAAGTGCTGGGGGGGGTCGGCTCGCGCTTGGAGTCGAACTTGCAGTTCAAAAAGATTTCCAGCATTGTACTTCTGACTGCTTGTTGTGCTGCCATGTCTGTGTCATGTTCTCCTTGTGCATGCCTGCCAGGACAGATCGCTCGCGCCTACTGGACTTCGTCAGCGCTGGGCGTCCCTTTCTAAGTCGGTCCCAGTGACTGTTGTGCCCCTGCCTGTCTCAGGTGAACCGGTGGATTCCGCGCCGGGCCTTGCCTCGCCTGTCCGCGTGTTGTCGTTTGCTGCCGCCTTGCCGGCTGCCAGCCGCCCGCCGGCCGGCCGCGTGCCGCCGCATGCGCCTGCACCTTGAGGAAGGGCGGACAGGGCATGGCAGAATGTCGCCCATGAATGCCAATCAGACAAGTACCTCTGCGCAGTGCGCAGTAGAGGGCGCAAAACGTAACATGGGATGCCGCTAGATGTCCCTTGACCGGACGCTCCGCCGTATCCAGGGCCACCGCCGCCTGTCCGGAGCTGACCGCTCGGTCGAGCTTTACGGCCGGGACGACATCCGTCCCATGTTGGACCTTCAGGTCATTAATCACGTCCGAGCCGGTTTCCGTCCTTTGCAGCCTCTGGCCCGTGGTTCCTCCACTCCTCTCCCTGTTGATCCGTCGCCAGTATCCGACTTCTCTGCCCTGCCGCTGGAGGATTCTGCGCCTTCTCCGGTTGATAGTGTTTCTTCTGCCTCGGCTTCGCGTCAGAGGATTCGGGGCCTGAGACTGATGTTACTTCGCCCCTTGCCTCGAATTCAGTGCCTCCTTCACATCCGGAGTCCGAGCCATCAGCCTTGCCTCATCATGATCTGGCCGCCACGGCTGCTGGTCTCTATATTTATAATCACCGCTCTAATGTGGTGCATGCTGCTCGGCCGACGCTTCCCACTGACCCGTCCGGCGCACCGGACCCACAGCGTGCAGAGCAGCTTTACCGCGCTGCATGTGGTTCATGCACTAACCGTCACGGCATGGAATCTGTCTGCCGTACCCTGCCTCCGGCCGCTTCTCCATGCCTGCACCGTGCCGGTCGTGCAGCCATGTCCACTTAAGGTTTAGCTAGTCCTAAACCCTAATACCTGGTTTTTTGTTTGGGGGTTTGTTTGCCTCACCCCGTGTCAATGCCCCGCACGCTTGGCCGCCACACTTGCCTATACCGCGTCTGACGCTGCAAAAATCGTGTCCTGCCATGCCATACGGGCTGTAGCATATTGGCACATGTACACATGTCCGGTCTGTCTGCATGATGTATGTTGATGCAGTAGCATTCCTGCTCTCAAGCCTATTTTTAACTAGCTGTAGCCACCTTAGCTACCTGCAGCTAGGCATGTTTTCAGCCCACTTCGAAGAGGCGCTCCTGTCCGCCTCCGATGAAGAGCTGCGCAACTTCTTTGCGGAGCTCCCTCTGGCCGCTCGCCGCCGTCTGATTGCCGTCCTTGCTGAGGTTGACGCAGCGTCCGCTCAGCATTTCCTGGACACCAACCGTCTGGACGATGATGCAGACCTCGCTGACTTGCAGTGGCCATCCGACCCGGAACAGCCTTCTGTCCGTCAGCCTTCGCCGGCTCCGTCTGAGAGCTCGTCCGATGTCTCCTTGGCGAGCTGGGGCATGACGTCGGCCCCCAGCTCCCTTGCATTTGCAGCAAGCCGCGGCAGCCAAGAGAGCTGCTGCTCCGCCAGTGCCAGTCACCCCAGGTCCAGCTGCTGTCCCGTCTGAGCGGGCCCTGCCTGTTCCGGGCTCAGCTTTCCTGGGACCAGAGATGCCTCCAGGCACCCGCTGGGCTAGTCCGACTGGCTCCGCCTCCGGATCTGCCCACTGGTACTCTTCCTGCGGTACCTGCTCTGCTCGCCGTGCTCATCGCCTCCGCATTCGTCTGGGACCTGTCTGTGACAATCCGCAGTGTACAGACACCTGTCCGCGTGTGGACGATCCTGCCCGGCGCAGTGGGCACAGGCACCACGCCTGCGATGCCTGCCACAAGCGGGGCTGGTGACTTGCGCTTCTTAGCTAAAACACTTTTCCTCGTCCGTTGTCATTGCACACATGTTCTGTCTTTTATTCCTATCAGGTGCTGCTACCTATTCTATTCTGATAGTTCACCTGTTCATGTCCGCAGCCTTTTGTGCGTGCCTTTCAGCATCTTGCAGCCTAGCCTTGGCTTTGCCCTGCCATCCCAGTCATGTCACATCGCCTTGACGATGCGGCCGTAGTCTCCGCTCTGCTTCAGCAGTGGGGAGCGCCCGCGTCTGTCCTCACACGCCTGCAAGCCACAGCGTTTACTACCTTAGGGTTGTTAGGTCATGCCTTGCCTTCTCCGGATGCCGAGGACTCCTTCCTCTGCACTGTCCTTGAGCTCGATCCGGCTGATTCAGCCCAGCTCCACTCCGCGCCGGCCGCTTGCCTGCGCCGTTTACTGACGCATGCACAGGACCTTTGCCCTTCACAGTATACCGCCGCACCTGCGTCCTCCTCACTCAGTCCCGCCCCGTCGGCGCAATCGCGCAAGCTCATGCCGTCCGAAGTGCAGGCCATGCGCCAGAAGTTCCTGGCCAGCTACCCTGGAGAACTCCTCACTCCGGAACTCATGCCCGCACCGGAGCTCCTGTCCGCATTACAGCATGCCTTCGCTACCGGAGCGTTTACCCGTCTGACTTGCATTCTGTCTGCAGCTCGTTTTTCTGCCATACGAGACAAAAAGTGTGCCGTCTGTTCCGCACAGTCTTTTGTCCGCTTGATGCTTTGCGTAACGGACTCGTCCTGCACGAACTTGGAGTTTCGGCTTTAGGGCTTAGGATTTCGGGGTGCAGGATTTTTGCGTTTAGAGTTTGAGGTTTAGAGTTTAATTCCGTATGGAAACAGAAAGCCGACAATTCAATCGAAACTTGGTTAAGCTGAGGTTTTCATGTATGTGTACTTTAACACATTAAATGGAACATCCACAATGTTGAAGCTTAGGTAATGGGGTCAAAACCAACCCTTGTTTTCAGGAAGCCGTAAACTTAGGGTTCACGTGGTAGGGTTTAGGGTTTAGGGTCTTTAGACCCTGGACCTTAGACGTTACAGAGCCCTAAGCCCTAAACTTAGAGTTTGCCAGGGGGTAGGGTTTAGGCTCCCTAGACCCTACCCTTTCTAGTTAGCCTTGATAATGGGCTACTTCAACCCAAAGTAATAAGACATTAGGGGAAAGTTGCCTATGATTATGGGTGACTGGCTTTCTAGGTAGACCTTAAGAGCTAAACAACCCTAAGCACTAAACGTGCGTCTCTCCAGCTTGCCGTAGCGCCAAATGTTTTGCAAGGCCTTGTCTGGCTGAGGTGAGAAAAAGTTCACAGATTGTAGGGGGGGTTTCCCAAAATTAGGGGTGCCATTTTGGGGGGTTATAGTAGTTTGGGTTCCAATTGGGTTCCCCTTATTTTGGGAAACTACTTAGTAGAGTGGAAATGAGGTTGATATAGGGGTTTATAGCGATAAGATACTCATTTCATGGTCCCATCCTTGACAGTGGTAGAGAAGAGTGATCCAATGGAATCTGGAATCATTAGATTGTTATTGAAATTATAAGCCGTATGTATGAACCTAGTTTCCATTCTTTCCATTTTCTTTAACATTTGATTCTCCTTTATGTGGGCGGTTGATACGTTGCGGTGGACCCCAATCATCTTCCCGTGACATGCAATTGTCTGCACTCGAACCGAGAAGACATTTTAGGGATCCTTGGAAGCTTTCCACCTCAAGCCGGTAAGGCTACGTTTATCAAGATTTCCTTTTCAACGAAGCAATCATGGCACTGTCCCTCATCTTCCTGTCAAGCTTGCTCAGGGCCCACGGCAACAAGTTCTTTTCTGCTGTGCCGACGGACCCTGTGCTTGATGGGTGCAGTCTTCCAGTCAATGACGAATGGTGTACGAAGCTGGTGGCTCTGTGGGACTGTGCCACGCCTTGGAATGCCAAATGCCCACAAACTGACCATCCAATGGGCGCGGCACACAATGCAGACACCCTGCAGCAGAATTGCCTTGCGCAATGCCAGCATGCCGTTGTAGAACATCATCCGGAAGCTCCCGTAGTGGATGATCAGCAAGCGTTGCGCGAAGTGGTTGAGAAGATGAGTGGTGTGATAGGAGCCATCCAACAACGGGCCAAGGAGGCTGAAGACGCTGGCAACCAGGAGGGAATTTGCCAAAATACTACTTCGGACCACGGGAGTGTCCCTATAATCCCAGAGTAATGTCCCAATATCCCATGATATCCCTAGAGCACTTCTAGGGGCCCCCAAACCCCAAATCCTACACCTTTTCCGTGTTATGGGGGGGAACTGCGAGGAGAAGGCCCAAAACCTCCAAGTGGTGGCAGAAGAGGAGGTCTTCATCCAGCTGCAGGGTGTTGCAGGTGTGAGGTCCTTTCAAACAAAGTGGTGCCAATTTTGTGGGTTTAGGGTTCAGGGTTTTAGGGTGTAGTGTTTTAGGATTCAGGTCGTATAGTCTGAAGCCAAAAGCCCGAACTCCAAATCTCAAAGCCTAGCTTGAAAGCGTGTTGAAGTCTGTTCCCACCCTAAACTAAAAACCCGAAATCCTAAGCCCTAAATCCTATACCCTCAACCTTGAACCCTAAACCCTAAGCCCTAAATAGTAGCTTCCATTTTCTTTTCCACTGTCCCTATATAACCCCTATATGACCCTTATATAACCCTTATATAGCCCTTATATAAGAGAAATGCTCTAAACCCCAAACCCTAAATCCTAAACCCTTATAAGCCCTGAACCCTAAACCCTAAACCCCTAAACCGAAATATGGCCTTTGAGAAATGCCAGGTTTCTCCGCTGATCCTCAAGATACCCCAAACCCTTAAACCCCTGAACCCTAAACCCTGAATTCCCACCCGGCTCGCTTAGGCTGTTCCCACCCATTATTAGGGTGGCCAGACACTGAAGAAACACGTCAGCCAATGGGAGGAGCCAACGGGCGCCATCGGCGCATGGAACCTCAGCACTGTGCAGCTAGACGCCTTAAACCCGAAACCCTAAACCGTAAACGCTAAACTTAAACCCTAAACCCCTAAAACACCTAAAACCTACAGGTTTCTCCTCTGATCCTCAAGAAGCACAAGCCAGTGAGACGGCAGCTCGCCAGGCCGCTGAGGACAGGGGGCGGGCTTTCTGGGATTGTAGGGATTATGTAGGGTTTAGGGTTTAGGATTTAGGGAATAGGATTTCGGATTTTAGAGTTTCA